TACACACATCCTCACAAACACACAGTGYCAGACATTGATGCTCATAACCCGCCTGTGGAGTAGCGATAACTGTGGCTAAACAAAGGCCCTTTAATGTCAGTGTAAGCTTTTGTCCTAAAGGGGTCTTTGTATGCTCTTGTGTGTGTCTTGGCACATTTGTGGTACAGTATGTTCTTGTGTAGAAAACTTTAGAAAAACTGATAAAATAAGACTAAAATGGAAGGGTGAATAACAGTTGGCTACAAAAGATCCCAGTGGTGCTGTCAGACAAGACTGCTAGAACTTTCCAATAAGTGTGAATCTTACTTTAAGTCCCTAATCAGGCATTTAGCTTGGGGGTCATTGGGGCATCTTTACGATGCCCTGTTGTGTTTTACAACACCCTCTATCTGTTGGCGATGCCTCAGGATGCACTTCCAATCTTCGGTCCAGCAAGTTTTTTTTTTATATTTTACTCTATGTAAATGTATCCGTAACATTTTTCCCCCTCTGAACAGTTTGTAGGCTTCCTAAGCAGCAGAGGGGTCAACTGCATTTATTTTATGAAGCCAGAGGAAGACACACAAAGAATAAATTGTGCTGGCTTGGACAGAGGAGGTGGGTAGAGATGTTAGAGTAGCTGGTGTGCGTTTTCACAGTTTCCAGTCCAGTCGTAACTTTTTCGCATGTAAATTCCATAAGCTTGCATAAGGTTCATCAATGCCCTCGTCCAAAATCCTAGCTAAAAGCCTGTCCCTAATGTTATTGTGGTTTTCAGAATTTTCCATTTTTAAGGCACCAGTGTGTATCGGTTGGGTGGAAACATGATTTTGTACTGTTCAAGAAAGCTGGAGAAGGAAAGACCCCTGTGACCAAACCTGTGAACACGTTGTGTGGCGATGCTGCCACTACACACCATGCAGCCAGGGAGGGGTTTAATCATTCTTCCAATTAAAAAGCTAAAAAACTTGATGTTATAGAAAAATAATGAAATAAAGTAGTTTTCTTAATAAGCTTGGAGAAGACTAGATACTTTAGCAAACGCCGCTGAACGCGCATGCAGAAACTATCTGCACACATGGCAAGCTAGAGTCATTGTGGGAGCAGCGTTCTCGATAACTGGCAGCGAGTAGCGATACCTCCCTACCCTCACTGCTAATGTGAAGGAAGCCCAGAATGTGCGACTAATGTCTACAACTAGGGAAGAAAGAAAATACATGTATACTCAGAGGTACAATAAAAGAAAAAAGGTCAAGAAATAGTTTCTGTGTTGTAGAAGGGAGTAAGTTCAGCTGACCACATTTTGTTGATCAATAAGCAGCGTTTATACATTTTAATATCAAACTGAGCTGTGATGGGGAAAAATTGCTGTCCAAAAATCACTGTGATGCAGATAATTTTTTTAAAATACTGTGATAGAAACCTTTGGTCATACCGCCCAGCACTACTTCCTACTTCTCTTCCTCTGCTGAAGTTACTGGTGGTCTCAGTGGCCTTGTGTTCCCCTGATGACTCAACCACTTGACTGTACATTTTGTCTAGATTGCAATGACCTAAATGAAAGATGCCTTCTAAGATCATAATATTCATTAAAAATGTAAAGCTCTAACGCAGAGCATGAAATCAGGCAGGTCACCATTTAAAAGAAAAAGTTAACTCTGTTTAATTCACAAGATATATTTTTAGATTTTATTATTGCCTAAAGTGGTAAGATATTTACAAGTGAGTATTTTTTAAGACTTCTCTATTTTGACATGTCAGTTTTAGCTGAAATATTTTTTTCCGATGTGTATGTTGAAATAGGTGTTCTTAACTGTTTGCTTTACTAGACAACACCTGCTGTTTCTGCTGAGTTGATGCACATGCCGCTATTGTATCTGTGTTTATTTATAGACAGTACGACCCTAAGCAACATACACACATTCCTTTTATCACTGAATTTATTCACAGATGGAGTTTAGTAGTGCATGCAGAACTTCAAAACCCAATTGTGGAAGTTTTGGCTCTTACTGCTCGTAGCAATTCCTAGAATATTTTTCCCTTCTGCTTTATAGTAGAAGAGGATACCCTCTCCAACTTTTTTGCCTTTGTTGTTCTACTAGTCTCCATCATACTGTATCTCTTCTTTGTCATGTACAGTTTTCATCAACATGAGAACTAGTGTAGGGTGGTATTGATCATTTTCATATCGCAGTATAAGCTTTAAAAATACTACAGAATACGGTATTACGAGGTGGGGGGGTGTCTGTGGCATGTTGAGTAATTTATTATTAACTGAGAAATGGCTGCTCATGAGCATTTGTATATAGCCAGAGAGAGGCAGAAAAAAAGACCCTCACCTGCTCTGACATTGCTGTCAGTCAGAGCAGCATCAGTGGAAGTCACAGAATGAGTTTGCCCTTTATATCAAACAGATCAAAAATAAGRCCAACTACATCTTTTTAGGGTTTTTAGTTTCAAAAGTTTTGAACTCCTACCATGGTCGTATCCATGCTGCTGCATACTTTTAGTGAGAAAGGTTTCTGTGCCCATTAAAGTTTGTAGTAATTTCCTCATCTGCAGCGAGGAGCTTTCAGGTCTTGGGAGAACAAAAAATCACTGCGTGGATCACTAAGTTTAAATCCAAAAGGAGTCCCACTATTTGTTTGACTTAAGAAACCCTTGGCTGGTTAGTCCCTGACGCTGTCAAGTCAGCGCTACACCGGTCCATCTTTTCAGGAGCCGGCGAGTAACACATCTGCCACCAACCTTGCTCTGAGGGTTTTTATTTTGTTTTACCTCACTCAGAGATGCAACAGACAGGAGTGTCTCCTCTACATTGAGATGGTCAGAACACGGGTCATTAATGTTCTAGTGTCTTCTTAAAGAGCCCAGAATATCCATTTTTATAGCAGCCTTGTGGAAATTTGGCACTTCACCTCACGTGGCTCATACGTCATAATTTTTAAATGCCGTCATCATATTTTGATATGACGGTACAACAAAATACAATCATACCGTCCAAGTCTAATATGAACACTTTCTACTTTGAGTTTTAGAGGAATACTACCAGTGAGCAGGATGACAAATGCTTTTTGTGCATTTTGGCATTTTTGAGCTAGCTCTTTTCTTTACACTTGGAAAAGAAAAATGACTTCTCTTCTCCATTTTGTTTGATCTGTAAAGCCTGATTAGTAATTCATCTGCTGTATGTATTTAATATATTCATTCTGTGTAAATGTATTGGGAATTGGCCTGATGGAGGACTTTGTAGGGTTGTTAGGGTAGCGGAAACTTACGTGTCACATATCTTCAGCAAAAATATTTTATATAGTGTGTGCATGCCAAAAGATTGTTGGCAAATGAGCACACTAGGTAGCAGAGTAAGATCTGTAACAATTTCTTTAACATTTTCAAACATTACAGTTTTATTTTTAGTTAACCTTTATTTACCCAGGAAAATCACATATCTCTTTTTCGAGAGAGACCACATCCAGAAGGCAGCCTAAACATGCAGATTTATTGGACTGTGGGAGGAAACTGGAGGAAAAAAAAAACATGCAAACATAAAGAGAACATGCAAACCCCACACAGAAAGACTAAGGTCTAACCTGGGGCATGACCCCAAGATCACCTTACTGTGAAGCAACAGTGCTAACCACTAAGCCATGGTGGAGCCCATTGTTTGCGTGTTGTGTACAACTGTAAAACCCAGAGCAAAGGAGTTCACTCCTTTTGGCTTGGGTACTATGATGCAGCCAGACAGCATTTTGCTCTGCTTTCCCTGAGGGTGTGTGTGTGCGTGTGTGCGTGCGTGCGCGCGCGCGTGCATAGGAGCCAGACACAAGCCCATGTACTTGTCTGGTGACTAACTTCCGAGGGCTGGTGTCCTTAAATTTCTCTTTTGGTGCACACACACCAATAAATGTAGCCCTTCCACTAGTTTTACTGATTAGCGTTAATCAAACGAACACTTGCCTTGTGACAGAAACACTCTTTGAGCTTGTGTAGCTGCATGCAATGATTATCTGTAAGACCACCAGAATCTTTTCAGCGGGTCCGTCTTTCCTGATGAGACAGGCGAGAATTCAGGCAGGCCCACTGGGCAATGCAGGCAAGGGGAAAAGAAATAACAAAAACAAGCTCTTTTTTATTTTCTTCACTTGTATGCGTGTGTGTTTATTATTTCAGGGAAGTACTTCAATATGTAATCTTTCCAAATTAAATGTGACTTCTCTGATGGCCTGTTGGATTTTGCAGTGGAATTAGTTAACAGATGTGGGATTAATTTAAATGTAGTTGTTCCTCTGTATTTTGTAGTAGCCAAAAAGATTAATAATGTGCTTTAGACCAACATGGAAGCCATTTTGCTTAGTCAGTAAAAATTCAAATATGTTGGATTTATACATTATATTTTAGTAAAACAGTTAGCATTTTAGTTATGATCTTACTTGTGTTCTACAAAAAGTTGCAAGTGATCTAAAAACACTGGTTTGTTTAACCTTTTTTCCCTTTGTTCCTTATATTTTTGCTGAAAACCGCATTAGACATTACTTATAAACAATTAAAAAAAGAGCTTAGAACATCAAAATCTCTTCGTGTGTGTGTGTGTGTGTGTGTGTGTGTGTGTGTGGTGAAATTTGGGGGTGATTTTAAGACAAAAATGCCTACATTTGGGGACAAAAGTCGAGTCCCCATTTAGTTTAAATGACATTGATGGGCTGGGGGTTGGGTTTAGGACCTAGATGTGCATTGAGTTTAGGTTAGTTTTAGGGTCAGGTACCTGTGACGTTAATTTTAGGGTAAATGGTCAGGGCTAGGATATAAAATTTCCAAAAAATGAATGGAAGTCAATGTACGGTCTCCACTGGGATAGACAAACCAGACCTGTGTGTGTGTGTATGTGTGAGGGTAATGTCCACACTTATTAATGTCTTTTCATCATGGTTATATTCGTGTTAGTGTAGAGAAAAATATTGTAGGTCCTGTACTTTTCCTTGAATTCACCAGTATATTAAATATTTTTCCTTGTGTGTTTGTAGTATAACTTTGTGGGAAGAATTCTTGGTCCCCGGGGACTCACTGCCAAACAGCTGGAAGCAGAGACGGGATGCAAAATCATGGTGCGAGGCAAGAGCTCCATGAGAGACAAGAAGAAGGTAAGCTCTTCAGCCCAGAGTTTTGGACAGAATTTTGCTTGCAATGTTCCTCACATTCTGCTTTTACATATTTAAAAGTGAAAATAATTTAATGCAGACTAGATTTTCTTTCCTTTTTTTCACAATAACATTTTCTATGTTTGAATGTCATCTAATATGAAATTGACAGGTATGGACAAACAGAGGCTTCTAGAAACATAGGGCAGATAAATGTTATTTGATACCTGGTGTCTGAGTTCAGACATCGGACAGCGCTGCTTGAGGAATTCTGTATTGTAGAAAGTTCAAAGGGCATTAGAAAAGTCTTGGGCCAGTGGCAGCCTTTATTTCTGGAGTATTTGAGGTGGGATTGAAGATGCATAAAAATACTGCTGTGTATACACAAACTGAAGCAAAATTTAGCAAGCAGTACATAGTTTGGCCTCTAAATATAATTCATAAAATTCAGATTTATTGAGGAAAAAACACACTGTCACATTTGAAAGTTCTGTAATGCGTTCTTGTCCTGTCAGTCTTGTAATAGTGTTTAATTATGAAAAACTTGCATTTTGAATTCTTACCCAACTTAAATGCTCACCCACAAAGTGTTGAAGTATGTCAGTTTAGAGTTTAATAATTCATTGTGTGGACAAATTACTTAGTTTCTAAACTGTACTGCTTAGTCTCTTTTTTGTGGTCTGACATTTTAAAAATAACTTTTCTCTGACTGCGCCCCCTAGTTGCTCAGATTTGCCAGACAGGGGTGCTAGATTACAATGCATTGGGGGAAAAATTAGWTTAGCTCTGGAAGGGCAGTCACCTTTTCTGCAGACACTCACCCACAGATTTCTTAATATGCCATGAACTCCAGACTGCTCCACAACAGATGAAAACCATCTGAGAAGTGTTTTAATTTATATCTCCTCTCGGGGTATTCATTATTGCAGAACTCCTACTTTAGACTTTAGTTTTAGTTCATTACATAAATCTATGATTCTGTTCTTAATCTCACACTGTGTGCTAAAACCTAATGATGTGTCCCAGTTTATTTTTTGTTCTAGTGCTGCTATTGAATCTGCCAAAAGCACTGCACTATTTAATACGCTGATAAAGAAATAAAGGACTAACAGTTGCARAAGATAGAAACAGTACTTCCTCTACATATTGTTTTGACATAAGGAAACGTCCCCCAAATTAAAGTATGTTATCGATGGTTTTGAAAGCTTCCTTCTCACTGCTTCTATAAAAGTAGAACCAGTAAAATTGGTAAAAAATATTTTTAAAGTGCATATTTTTTCATGCATATTCTAATAAAACCTCTTCTTTTCTTTAACAGTTGTTCATTAAAATGTACCATAAAGTAGGCTGGTATGAATAAGATATTGGGCAAAGAACCAAGTGGTTTTTCAGTTTGTGCTTCTATAAATCATAAAAGCTGCAAAAAATGTGCTGCATTCACCCCAGTAGCTTTTGGATAGGCCACGTGTGTCATAGCTGTGGCTCAGCCACAAAGAAAGCCGCAGAAGTAGCTTCCAGTCACTGCATCCTCAACCTCAGTATTTTCAGCTTGATGCCCTGTGGCAGCAGAGGATGCCACGGCAGCAGCTAAGCCAGTGTGTTTATTCAGGATCCATTAGCGGCAGCATTTTTATGCTCTCAATAATTCAGCTGGTTACTCCCCCTTGGGCCGCGCTGCTTGACAGGGAGCCGGCTCACTGGAGCTACGCAATGGGAGAGAGTCAGGCAGACACAGAGAGAAGGAGAAGCAGGGTAAAATAATAAAGAATAACAGTGGTGAAGGAACAAAAGCAATTCCAGTAGAAAATAAGGAGTAAGACAGCTAAAGAAAAAGGGTATAGTACGACCCTATAAAATAAAACAAGTTGACTAATGCTTGAAATTGAAGCTCTACATTTTTTCTGTCTTTCTCAGCATAAAATTATAAGATGATGACAAGAACTGCTGCTATAAATAAAAGCTTCTGGACATTATTTGTTAAACTGATTTCAAAATCTTGTAATTGTTGCTAATTCTCAAAGGAACCCCTAGAAGCCATATTCCTATCAAGCTATCACGTGTTGTCATGTGTTGTGATAGCTTTAGGCTCTCATTTTCTTTCTTTCTATTTTTTGTAGTCACAATTAAAGCAGAGCAACACGGAGAAGAGCCGCAATTAAATTACAGACGCGTTTTATCGACCGCTGCACATGTAGAGTGGGGATTCCCCTTCCCCTTTGCAAAAACAAATTCCCTAATTCTATTTAGCCTCCTTCACAGTGAGATTACAGTTAGCAACACAGACATCTGTTTTATTTAGAGCCACTCTAAAAATCCTTCCAGACTTGCAGGTTAAAAAAGCACTATCAAATGAATTTTCATTTGTTTTTTTTGCTGATTGTTCCAACACATAATAGCTAAAACTGTGGTATCAGCACGGTCACTGACGGAACAGAATTGGCCGTCAACTTCTGCCAGCGAATAGATATTGTCACAGCACAGCTCCAACTTTTCATTGCCTAAAAAGTAATAGACTACGTTTGCAGTCAATATGCTAAATTTTATTAGCCTCTTGGCAGTAAGGAAAATCAATTCATTTTGTTTTGAATTTAAAGCTGGCACTTTATATTTTTCATTTCTTGACCAATTTTTTTATTCAGAGCTTGTTTCTAAAAACTTTCAGTCTGTGTTGAACGTGAGGGTACGGTTTACACATGACAAAAAGCAAGTGTGATGATTCAGGACATGTAGATGACATATTGCAAAATTTGCCACTGGAATATGGCTTACTGGGATGTTTTTTTAAAATAATACCATCTGTTAAGATGAGCAACTGTATCATTTTTCCAGACAGAGTTAAAAGTCATGACGTTTAAGTGTTCAGCTCAGTTTTCTGCATTCGTTGGCCTTTTAGATTTGAAAAATGACATCATATATTTTTAAATTACAGAAATTATTGCACTTTATTGAGATGTGGTTTTGTTATTGAATATTTTATTTATAACTGTTTTTGTCACTGTTGATGCTTTTTCTTCCACTTCTCTTGTCCTTTTTGTGACTTTCTTTGTCTCTTCAGCTCTCTTTTATACCGATTTCATTTATTGGCATCAAGCCTCAAATAAATTAGCCTTGGGAAGTTGGGAAGTCCATTACACTCTATGCTTTTTCAGAAGACGCCCTGTACCGATACAACTGCAGTAAGACTCTTATTTTGCAACATAAAACCTTAAAAAGGTGTACTTGATTGTATTTTGATCTCTGAGATATAATAAGACTAGAGTACTTTTGCGACTCATCAGCAGCTTGAGTGATAGCAACATGTCAGAGCAAACACGTTTTTTTTCCACTTTTCCACCACTTCACCCTTTTAAACCGCGTGGATTAATGTTCTCAGAAAGCACACCTGAGCGCAGTAAGAGAGTGTCTCCSTCCGTGACTTCTGATCCAGAGGGAGCGTCAACACAGACTGGGCTGTTCACCCATTATCGGTACTGTCGTCTGAAAGAGCCTTCAAAGATGTGTAGGTTGCTTAAAAAAATAGGTGTAGGTTGCTTAGATAACTGCTGAGGTTCAAAATCACAAAAGCAAAGTTGCAGCACCAAATAGACCAAAATGTTACCCAGGTCACATTGCCAGTGATTGAAGACTTTGACTGTAAAACTATACTCCCTTTGTGTCTTTGAGCAATACATCAGATCCCTGTGGAATTTAGAGGTGTAGTTTAACACAGTAGTTTTAATAGTGTGGGGCCACTAGGGCGGCCTCGGAAAGCTGGAGAGAATATAAGAAAAAAATATTTTAATAATTTTTTAAATTGTTATCCCTAATTCAAATCTGTTTTTAATCATTTTTCTATCTAATTTATAATATATTAAAATGTTATTTAAGAGAGCTTAAGAGAGGTTAAATCTGTTTTGTTCTGTTCTCATCAGCAGTGTGTTGAAATGTTATTTTTTTTTTTCAGTGGGAATAGAATAATGTTTAAAACATGTTAATAAAATTGTCATTCAACTAATTTAATTATTGAATAGTGAATAAAAATAGGAAAAACATGCTCAAAGTAGTTTTTTTTTCTTTGTAATTTGTAACATTTTGCATCGGGGGTCCCCAGCTACAGGC